GATTATTTGGAAATTGCTGTTACATTTTATGGTGACAGCATTGTTTTGCAATTTCAGAGTTCCTTCCTTTGAACACGTAGAAGTAATTTCAGCTTTTGCTACCAGAGGTGATAAAAAGCTAGTAATAACACTGTAGCATCTACTGTAATTTAAGCACCAGTTCCACCAAGTTGCACCTTGTTTTAATTTTCTCCCAGTCTTGTCTGCCAAAACCAAGCCTATGATCAAAGTGAAATCAAGCAGCAGAGCTACAAGGTTGGGAGTGAAGTAAGGACTGACCAGTTCACTTTCGACCTGTGTCTCATTGTAACCATCAGGAGACATTCAAACCAGGAATTAATTTGTCATCGTAGATGCTGACATTCCGTCTTTTCAAAGCAGAGTGTTTGCAGGAAAGTCTGGGAAGAAATGTATGGGGCTGGCTTGATGTAATTAGAATCATAGTCATAGAATCCTTAGAGTTGGAAGGAACCTCTGAAAGCCATCTAGCCCAAGTGCCCTGCACTGCACAGGGACACCACAGCTGGATCAGGTTGCCCAGGGTTTGATCAGCCTGGCCTTGAAAGTCTCCATGGATGGGGCACCCACCACAACACTATGTAACCTGTTCAGAGCCTCACCGCCTTCACTGTAAAAGACTTTTTTCTATATATCCACCCTAAACCTACCTCCCTGAGATTGAATCCTTTTCCCCTTGTCCTGTCACCACACAGCCTGCTAAAGAGTCTGTCCCCTTCTTTTAGAGAAGACTTCGTCACACTGACCATTTGCAATCACAGAGAGGACCGAGCTCCAGTCAAATCAAGAGAAGGCCAAAATCAGAGAAGTTTTTTCCTTTCTTTTTAAGCTGATGAGCTTATTTGTCCCTTGGCAGGACAATAGGAAGCCTCTACAGATGTTTAAGTAGGCTTTACTGATGCTGTTCATTAGCGAGCAATAGCGTGTGAGTGCACCAATCAATAGTTTGATAATTCCTACCAGTGCCAGGGCAGCCAACTGCAAAAGGTTTAGGCTAGAGAGGCGTAACTAACGTCTGGGCTGCCAATATTGCTGACCTCGTGTCAGCTAACTTAGTAATAACCTAAAAAAATAATACCCACATGATTTTTCCACTGTATCATGACTGGCTGAGATTAAGGTGTGCTGTAGTGTGTGACTCACCAAATGTGTTTGGATGGTGTACTCAGTCCTCACTGCAGGGGAGGTTTCCCACACCTAAATTGGATGGCAATGACAGGTTTGTCTCCCTTTTATCCTGGCTAGTCTCTTTGAGGAATGGCATTGATTCACAGAAGTATTTGTGAGAAGTTCAGTGCCAGCACATGCATTACTGGGTAGCAATCTGCAGTTGCACTGTTGAGGTGAAAATAATCCTAAATGCTCTAAACACTGAGGTCAAGTAATTTTAATTATGTGTTTTGTTAGTGTTGTCAAGCAGTGAATTTAACTACAGTTAATGCAGATGAAAGATCAGTTAAGGAATGGGACTCAGTCCCTTGGACTCACAGAGCTGCGCTCTGCACTCACAGTGGTCCTGGTGCCTAAGGGGACTTGGGGCCATCTTCGCTGACCACAGCAGACTTAGGCCCTGGCAGGGGTCCTGGGTGGCTGTTCATGGGGGCTGCTGGGCAGCCAGCTGCCAGCACTGAGTATCCCTTCTGGCAGGATTTGAGTGTTCATGCTTGAAGCCTGGATAAGGGAAAGCACAGGTGCTCTGTTGTGATTGCTGCGTAGTGTAGTACAGATCTTAAAACACACGTTATTAGAAGTATATGCTTCTATTAACATAAATTGTGAATATATCACATGAGAAAAGTAAGTGTAGAATGAAGTTCACATACCAAGGTCCATAGGCCATCTATATAAGGTTAGCTAGTCTTCAAAGATTTAAACTCCATTTCTGGAAAGAAACGGGGTGATGATGGTAAGAAATCTCCCAGCAATGGAGAGAGCTTTTACTTGGGAAGCACAAAGTTTCAAAATGCAGAAGGTAAACAGAACAGACTGAAGCTGGGGCTTCTGTTTTATGAAGTCATGATTTGTGGGGTTGATTCTTGGGTATTGAACCATCTGGGGTTCACTTTGTTGAGAATGGAGTTTCATTTCTGTGCTACTCTTCCCACTGACACTTTAATTACCATACTATCTTTTTGCCTTTTGAATGTCAGTAGAAGACTGAATGTAACCAGCCCTGACTCTGAGAAAAAGGTTTGAGAGAAAAACTCATTTAACTCTGAGTATCTCAGACAAAAGCCTGGAGTGAGTAAGCAGCTGGAACTCTTAACAAACTGGAAAAAGACATGAAATCTTTGCTGATATCTGTGACTTAAAAACTGAATATGGGATTGAAAAAGATGCTGAATTGGGTTAGGACTAGGGCTATTCTTATTTATTTATTTTTAAGCAGATTGCTAATTAGAGTCCTACGTCAGAATTGTCCATCGGAGAAGCACTCTGCTGTAAAGACAAAGAGAGAATTCAGAGTTAAGTCCCTTCCACGTAAAGGATAAAGGCAGAATTTTCTAATGTATTATTTAATGCTTGTTATGTAGTGCATTAAGCAATCACTGAGAGGAAAGCTTTTAAAAACCAACGGCTTCTCTGATAGCATTAAATCTTACCTTAGATTTTTTTGGTTAGGTCAATATTAAGAAAATAAATGAATTAATACATTTCAGTCTGCCCGATTTATAGAGGCCAATCAAGTTACAATGCTGGACATGGCCAAGTGAAAGAGGGGAATAGATTTACCTGAGTGAGGTCTTAATTTAATCAGCTGGCCCCAGAGAGCTGAAGTCAGCAGACTGAGATGATATAAGAGGCAGCAGAGAAGCAGCGCGTTTCCCACAGTCAGAAAGGAGAATGACAGTGATGGAAAGGAGTCTAGGCAGTGTCAGAGCACACCTACTCCCATGATTTATCCTTAATTTACTTTAATGACAGTCTGAAGGTTGTCCTTTTTTTTTTAAAGTGTCCTCAGAATACTGGTATTTCCTAAATATTTACAGCGTGCTTTTTCTCCTCCCCCCTTCTGTTAGCTCCATTGCAAGCTGGAATTGAGGAACATTTTGCCATAGCAATTTGGAACAGAATGGCAAACTGCCTTTTTCCCACTGCATTCCTTGCCAGCTGTGTCCCTTCTCTGCAGTAAGCCTTGAATCAGGCGTAGAAATCACAGGATCCTCTGGGTCACTGTTGATCCAGGTTTCAGCTGGGCAAAGGATGATTCATAGCATCTGGTGTGGTGCCACGTTGTGGCTTTAGGAGAAAAACAATGTGGGTAACAGCAATCTTAGTTGTTGCTGAGCAGTGCTGCACAGAGCTGAGGGCATTTCAGTTTTCAGCTTCGTGTGCTGCCCTGCCAGTGAGGAGCTGTGAGGGGACAGAGCTGGGACAGCTGCCCTCAGGGATATTCCATGCTGTATGGTGGCACGTGGAAAAACTATGAAACTGGGGTGAGTTGACTGAGAGGGCTGCCTCTGATTAGGGACTGGCTGGGCATTGGTCAGCAAATGGTGACCAAGAGTGAGAAGCTTGAGCACTTTCTTTATAAATAAATATATTTATATTTCCATGTATATATGGAACACTGGGGAAGGGGAAGCAGTGAGCAAAAGGCTGTGTGGTGTTCAGCTGCTTGACATTATGATAAAATGGAAGAATTCGTTGCATTTCTTTTACTGTTTATACTGGCAAGAACAATGTGTGCTTTCCTAATACAATAGCTCATTTTTATTATTAAGTGGGTTTATTGATGGTTGGTCAGAACTACTGATATGCAGACAATGATCTCAGATTGCATTTACATGTCTGGAATACTTTCTGCCTTTCTAGTTTCTATCAAGAACTTGCTTCTCTGATTCAGAGGGGGGTTCTATTTGTTTGTTTTTTAATTATGAGATCGGGCTGTTGTTGAATTTGCATGACAAAATTACACTTTTTGCTTTATGTGTGTATGTGCATTGCATTCATTAGTATCACAAAAAAATAAATATAAATAAAAATTATAGCTTGGACCTGAACAATTATTGTTAATTTATCAGTTCTTGCAGGTAAGTATTCGGTTATATGCCAGACACTTAGGTTATGCTTTTGCAGATCATGTCATCATTAGAGGAAGTGCTGATTTTTTGCACAATGCCAGAGAAGGACTCAATGGCAGTAAGATCGCAGTGATGCTTGCAAAGATAACTGGAGACTTTTATCAATTGTTTTCTCATTTGAAAAGTCTGTGTTTTTGCAAGAACAGACTACTGATACTAGTTTCTTGCATATCTAATCCTTTACATACAAGGTGTCCCAAACTGCCCCAAAATGCATGTGGAGGGATGGAAAATAAATAAATAAATAAAACACATGCAAGTGTTCCATATCTTAGTGGTGAAACAAAAAAACAAACAAACAAAAAAAACCAAACTTGTATTTACTAGGGAAAATGACGGAACAAAACTCAAAGCGTTTTCTCTTGGTGGCCACTTTATTTGTCCACGCTGATGAACAGGCCATATCAGACACCTATGTAGTTCTTTGTGTTAGTAGCCTTTCTTGCCAGTTCGTTCTACCATACCGAAAGTCCTGTGTTGCTTTAAAGTAAAGGCAATGCAAAAAGCAGCTAGGAACCTGGCTTATGAATTAAGTCAACATGTTCTCCAACTCTCCTCCTGTGGTAGCTTAACAACTTGACAGGTATTTCACTGGGACATGTTACAAAACTGGTCAACCCTAGCATAAACCAGTTCCTATCCCAGGTGAAAATGAAGGTATTTTTAAAGGGATTAAACTGTGGCCAGGTTTATGCTTTGTCTACCAGTAGGCTGGACTGGAATTCCTGAGCAAAATAGTGGGTGCCTAGCAAAGTGATGTGGCCACTGGGTTCAACTAAAACGTTAATATAGGCATCCTGTCACTCTGTACATAGTTTGGTTATTCAGGCTAGAGTACGTATCCCATTCCATGTTCCAGATGTGTGATTAATCCTACATTTACTTTCATGTTTTCAGATATACTCAAGGACAAGAAAACCCATCCAGAAAACAGAAATGAACCAAAACCAACTGTGAAAAAGATTGTCACCACAACCACCACAAGCACTGTCAAGTCATCCTCTAAACACAGCGTAACTGGAAATGGGAGCAGTGCAGCCCTGAGTTCCTCACTTGTTGTTTTGACAGCACTAGCAGTTCTGTGGCCTTGCCCCCCATAACTGCACACGATTGCAGCCACTGCACAAGCCTTTCTGTTCACTGTCACCTACACCTGCAGCCTTACCCAGAGAAAACAAAGCTAAATAGCTATCTGTTTTACTTGATATATTACAATGAATATTAAACAATGTGCTGGAGTTGGCAGATAGGAAGTGTCCTCACCTAGAGTGAAGATAGCTTCTGACAAAGCCCAGCCAGGATGCAGAGAAAATGATGACAGAAGTTCAAGTAGCTTTAGTTATGGGATAGAAATAATTGAGAACATGAGAACTGTGTACGTGTGTTACTGTTCTTCTCAGTTATGTTCACTGGAATCACATTGGCTGTTGTGTTGAAGTTTTTTTCTGATAAATTAAAGGAATGGTCAGTCTTCAAATCTAAGCCCATACATGCATTGTTTCTCCAGTGAGCGGCTAATAATCTACATCTGCAGTTGTAAAACATGCTGAAGTGAAGTACTTTGACCAACGGGATGAAATTCCTCACTGGTCGAGAAGATCAAAGCATGTCTGAAATTTCTTTTCACTGCTATTCTTTAGATTGTAGGAAGCCACACAAAAGCACATGGCATGTTTAATACATCAGCATAGCTGCCTTAACAATTGCAAAAATTAGGAACACTTTGTTTACTGAGAGCAACATCGAGAGTGAGTTTCCCTGCCCCGCGAAATGGAATCACCAAATGCTCAAACATATGCTGAAGGCCTATGGGATGCACGTCCAGCAACAGGAAATACAAGCATAATAGCATCTTCTTCAGTTGAATGCCGTTTTGTACAGTGGGGGGGAGGGTGGAGAGGGGAGATCATTCAGTTAAAATTCAGTTTGTCGGCATGTTGTTAAAGAGAAAATAACTTAAATTTTCCATAAAAGACTGAGAGGTGTAAGTTAATGGGAGCTCCTGTTATACACAACCAAGATTTTGGGCATTGTGAATCTATGAAATCAACTGTTTCATAAACTCTGTATTATTTAATTACATTTAATGTTTAAAGTTTTCTATCACTATAGGTGTAAATGTAAAATAGTCAAATCTGGAATATTCTCTATTGCATCTCAATTTCTATCCTAGAAAATGACAAAATGTGCATTATATTTCAAGGCTTCTTTTTTTTTTAATCCTTCATATCTTGATATATTGTAACTTTTCAAATGGAAAGTACTAAACTTCTAATGGGTTGAGCATCAATGTGTGTTTTCCAACAGCTATGTTTACAGTACCATTGAATATATATAAACACAACTGTATGAATTCAGTGATTAATGATAAGTGAAACGTTAGAATTGTTATACTTGCTGCATTTCATAACTGTTACAACAACTTAATGGCCATTTTCATGTTGTAGACTGTTACTGTGTACAGTTTTATAAGATTGAACATAAAACATTTATCTTTTTTTTTTTTGTAGAGCATCTCTTTTGATACTTAGAGTTACACAGCCACTGACATCATTCAGAAGAAGAACCCAATGACTTACTAATCAGCTTCAGGCATGTCATTGAAAGTCTTGATAGTGAAGGACATCTTGATTCAAAGAAGCTGCTATGTGTCAGTATTACTGAGTGCCATTGTATGTAAAGTGGCGACAATGCATGACAACACAACACACAACCAGACAAAGACCCACTGTGCTTGCCATGTTGTCAGATAGCATTAGTGAACATGTCTAATTATATTTGCAGAGGTGGGGCCTTCGTTGTTGCTTTTTTTTTTTAATTGTGCTGTAAGTTTTCATTGGCAGATGTAGAAGTGTAATCAGAACCACCAACACACCCAGGTGTGAAGGAGTTGGCTCTAATGTGAAAAAAAAGATTTCTAAAAGTGTTCAATTTTAACATTGAAACAAGGAGATGAAATAGAATGTATGTATGTAGAAGGTATGTGCTAACATGAAATATTTTCTACTTTGTGTTCCGATTTTTCACTATGCTAAGGTTATTAATATCACTCAGTAGGGCTTTTCCAAATCTTATCAGCGTAAATCAGGTTTCCCAAAGGTACAAAAATGTCTGTCCACTGCTTTCCGAAGTTTGGGAGCTGCACCAGTCTATTGAACCATCATTACAAATGCCACGTTTTGCATTCGTTGTCACTGCCCATGGGAAGAGTGCACTTCTACCTGAGGAGATGTACTGTGAAAGGACACCATTGCTCCTTGCAGCCTTAACAGATCGGTTGTGACTGGTGCTGTTAAACAGCCTGGTCTGCGCACACAGAAATGTGCTTTTAGTGCTCACATCCATCACCAGCTCCTCAGGTGATACTGATCACCGTGGCTTCACTGAAGCAATATAACATTTTTCATGCTTATGAACATAGTACGTTCTCACAATTGAGATCCTGAGTCATCACTCAGACACACATGTTGGCATTTGCACCCTTAAGTCTCCGTCAGTATTCCTGTGGATAGGGATGGGGTTTCAAGGTTAGGCTCAAACACTGCCACACTCCAGCAAGGCGGCTTGGCCTTTTCATTTCTCACTTGGATAGTGGGAACTTGAATACCTGGAATGTGCATGTCCTTTTGAGATCTTTGTGCTTTTAGGGAGGCCAGTGATCCAGATAGCCTCGTACTGAGCTGTAGCAGAGCAAGTTGTATGTGTGGAATAACTCACCCAGAGGACTTTTTGTTCTTGAGAAATCTCACGACCTTGCTAAACAAAAACCTCTGAAAAACTAAGTGTTTGAATTTTGGGTTTGGTTAGCTAGTTTTTGACTGAGGTAGCACTGATTCTGTGATTATATGATTCTGTAAGCTCCTGTGTTCTAGTGACGAAACCAGAACAAGTTCAAGTGGCAGGGTAAGGCAGGTCCATTGATTCATTTTGTTAATAGGCACAGGACAGGGGAAGAGACTGCAGAGGATTCAGCTGCTACCAATGCATTTCACAATGATGTACTTTTACTCTGTAAGAAGAGTACTGGTCATGAAATACGTTCGTAATGTGCATCAGAAGTGGTGCAGCTTTTAAGAGCAATGCAGAATATTTTTACTGATACCTTATGATTTTTTTTCCTGAGGATCAGTTGCATTTACATATGAAAAAGTATTTTCCATCAAACGGAAAAACTATACTAGTAAAAGCAAGACAAAATGGCTTCATCAGACAAGAAGTGTTCCTTTTTGGATGAACATATGAAATAAATCTTATTTTGATATCAGGGACACATGTAGTTCTCAGTAATTGAAAAGGTCTAAATTGGAAATACTTTTGAACTTGTCTGTGTAACCTTAATGTAAAATAACACAGCAGTCTGAGACCATTGCTGTAGCTTTACCTCACAGTTATGAGTTGTTATGCAGCCTCTGCTTTCTGGATGTTTATTGTGTAGCTACAACCTTCTTGTACTTTGCCAGTGTTGGGAAGTCTGCTTGCTGCTGCTGTCATGCACTTGAGTAGAATCAACCTACATTTTCCTCTTGATAGTGATGTATCTTCTTAGCAAATAAGTGGAATTGCTGTGGACGTGCAGTCACCTCTCAGTGTTTGACTGCTATTTAGGCAGTTCCATCAGGTGCACGTGAAAGGTTTGGAAAGTTCCTGTGTCGCTGTTCTCCTTCATGGCTATGGATGCATCAGGGAGAAAAGCCAACACAGATGGACAAAAGTGTGTATGGCTGCAATGTGCCAGTGCATGACAACGTCCAGCTGTCTTTTCTGAGGCTCTGCGCCAAGCGTTTCCCTCTAGTTTTCAAGCAGCTTTTTACACCTCTCTGAGTTAGACCATGGAGACTGGCCAGGCAGAGAGCAGCTGGAGAATCTACAGACTACATTTTAAGGCAACTTTGCTGACACCTCCTATGAATTGCACTTGCTTTGCAGTTTGCTTGCACTCTGTAAATTGGCAGCTCATTTTCAACCTTGCATTTTTTCTGGTTTGCCTGTTGCAAATGCTATGCCCTGTCCTGGAGCAGATCAGATACTTGGTCATTGTGTAAAGAACTGTGATTCTGTTCTTTCACTCCATAATGAACCTTCTGAGGTACAGATGTCTGTCAGAGCCTGGTAGAGCAATATAGATAATAATGTGCAGCTGCATTTACTTCAGAGGCTTTGTTTATGGGTATCTGGCTATGAGATTCATATCTCTTTCATCTCTTAAGTCACATGCCTATTCAATATATTCCTATTTCCTTTTGTTACCAGGACTGCACCATGTATGATTATGTTTCAGTTTGAATCTCTAAGGCTATGTGTCTTAATATTGTCCTGCTGGGTGCTGTGTGCAGTCTAGTTTTTAATGTTAGATGAGCCTTTTTGCCGAAATTTATTGAGCCATTCTCGTTCAGTACTGCACACGATTAGTTTAAAACAAGACCTGTTCAAGTGAAAGAAGCTGAAGCACATTGAAGTGAGATACTGAGTAGGAAACGAGTTTGGAAAGTCCTTGTGTTGCTGAATGGGCCTGTTCACATTAAACAGATTATAGTGTTTAGCTAAAATTAGAGTCAAGATTTCATAACTGATGCGTTCAAGAGGATTTCAGCCCAGTTTTTAAGCAAGAATTAATTGATACATACGCTTTTGTCATCTCTCTCTACAGGGGTAAAGACAGGTCTGTACATATAGGGAACATTCCCTAAAATGTATCTTGCACATTGACTAGCATCATATCAGAAGTGCTTATATCACAAGTAGCCAAGAGCATTTGTGTCATACATCATCGTTTTTTGCTTTTCACTGATCACAGTGGTTCTTTCAGTGACAGAGGACACACGTTAATGAAAAGTGAGATGTAACAGTCAGTGTTACTAGAACAATTTTCTAAGTCCCTTTCCCTGTCTGTTTTGAGCCCCATTCCTTTGCACTCCATGCAGTGCAGTACGAAGCTTGGATGCAAGAAACTGCTGCGCTCAGTTCAGGAAAATGAAACTATTGCTGCATGGTGAAATTCTGCTTTTAGAAGAATGTATTCAATCTGCTGGTGCAGTTACTGAAGCACTTGTGCAGTAAATGGCCGCAGTTGGTACAGCTCTCCAAAGAGGCTGTTGGACACACAATGAAGCTGATTTTTGCCTCACTCCCACGCAGTTGAGATCTGTCTTGGTCCTTTAATAGGCTGATTCAGACATTCTAATTATTATCGACACTATAGTGATTTCCCCTGCAAAAATGTAATGCTTTTCTTAGAGAAGGACACACGAGAGAAGCCACTGATGCTTTCATGAGGTGCATAAAGAACTTTGTTAAACCACTGAGGATTTTTTGTAGTGGTTTTTTTTTTCTTTTCTGTGCAAAACGCATTAATGCTGCCTTGCAAAAATATGCTGTTTGCCCTAAATCATTTCAATTAATCTTTAGTAAATTACCCACTACTTTGTAATTATAATATTTGCAGCTAATTTAGTGCCATTCTAGAAAATCATTTGTTGTATAATATAAGCAATTAACATTTATTCATTTTTTTCTGTTTCAGAGAGATACATAAATTATCCTCAGTGGCCTTTCTGTACACCTAATTAGCACCTGTTTGAATTATTCTACAGGATATAGACATTTCATTTGGAAAATGAATGCATTGCTAGTTTCACGAACTACTTGCAAATATGCAGTTATAAAAACTCATGAATAGAAAGCCATATTTTCATGTGTCTCGTGTCTCTTCTGTGTGTAAGGTAGGCTAGGCTCCCAGGCTATTACATGTAGAATAGGTGCTGACATTTAAAATGCATTTAAAATGTAAGTAGTCAGATGCCTCTTTCCTATCATTCAGTACACTATCACAGATTTATGTTGTGTTCTGGAAGGAAAAGGAAAGCAAGGGGACGTTGAGAAAGTAGCGTCTGGTGTCACTGCTGGATTTCTGTATATGGTTATGCAGCTAAAGAGCTGTGTTCATTAGAGAGTGTCCAAAGCATCGCTATGCTGGAGTGTCAAAGATACTGTGTTAGAGTGGTGGAAATTAAAGCGGACTGCTTCAGTATTCTAAGAAGGGTTCAAGATAAAGATTCATTTTATGTTTAAGTTCATAGTGTATTGAGTAAGGTCATTTGATCTTTTTAAAACTGAGATCTGAGACTAATATTCCATCAAAAATGTCAATATGAAATACTGGTCATGTATGAAATTAGAAAATTAGGAAACTGAAAAGCTTTGAGATTTCTCCGTGGATATGAAATGTTGCAGTGGACCCTCAGCACCCATAAATCAGCACGGTGCCTTTCATTTCAGTTTAGCTGTGAAAATAGAAGTTAGTATCTATCCCCAGAATGAGAATTCTTTCCTATCTTTCAAATGGGTAGAAAATCAAGAGTAACTGCAGAGGTTATGAAATTTGCATAGCAGTTTCACACTCTCTGTTCCACTGATCAGATTGTGTCACCATGTCTCAAATGAAAGTCTGCTAACACATGGGATGCCATGAGTCTTGTGGTGTTTTCCATTTCTAGGGATATGGCCAGGGCCTTTTCAAGAGAAGCAGCAACGATCTGGGGCTGCAAGGAGATGTTCATACTGTCACTTTTAGGGAAGTCTCTCCTGGAGTTTTGTTGATATTTTATTTTATGCAAAACATCCATAATTGGATGGAAACCAAAACAGGATGTATGGTTCCACAGTGACACACATTCATCTGTTTGGAGTTGTTCTCTGTGTGAACTGTCTGATTGCTGTGAAAGAGCTATTTTGGCTATTTTTGTTTGAGGCCAGGCACAGGCAAAAGCTTTTTACAAGTCAAAACAGTGAGGGAAATAGGAAGATATTTAGTGTCAATGTCATTAAAAATGAGAAAATGAATTTAAGTGGAATATTTGAGTTTCCAGGTCAGGGATGAACAATGCAGTTAAAAACCATTTCCAGAACAACAGTGTAGTTGCATACAGGAGGAGGGAATTGTAGCAGCATTCAGACATAAAATCTTTATTATACAGGGTAGTATTGGAATAAAAATGGGATCCAGTACACAAAACCTTGCATTGTACCACTACTTACTTTATGTTCAGCATCAGAACTAATAGAACATGAATGCTTACAGTACACTAGGGTAGGAAATACTGTAAAATACATGCTTTACCTTTTAGATACTTAAAGAATTAGTTTGTGGTCTCATAGTCTTGCTTAGTTCATTTTATTTTACAGGAATTAATGCTCTGCTTACATTTGTATTTTACATTAGTTGCATCCTGGCTATTTTAAATAAATTGGTTTTGTCCCATGCTGTGTTCAAGCTATAATAATTGTTTCTATTTCCAAAGCACATTTGATTTGCAGTATATCTGCTTATATTTGATCAACTACATTTGTCAATTTTCTTTAGTCTACTTTCAGCACTGAATGCGATACAGGGAATTTTAAAAAGGAGCCTGAAATCAGTATCTTAAAAAACAGAAAAACGTCATTACTTTGAAAACTTAAATGATGTGTTTTGTAAAGGACAGTGAGCTATGAATTGAAATAAAAATAAATAATCCACAACAGGAAATTGCTGCCTTCTGATAGAATTTTTGTATTTCTTTCTGCGCATCTTTGAGCATCTTTGGAAAGTACAAAGATGACAAAATCTTAAATAAGATTTTCATCAGTTTGTGCCACATTCTATATAGAAGATTTAGACCTTGATTACTGCTAGATAACATTTAATATTGTAGTCATAGTCTGGCAAAGAAAGCTTTGTTTCTTCAGCAGTGTAACTGCTTCCTTGCTTTTCCTTCTTGCATAAATACACTGAGATGTAAGGGTGCTGCTCTCTTGAGCTCTTTTTATTGAAGATAAAATAAAAAGACTTATATTGAGCTCTTAATATTATTGAAGAGGCACAGTACTCACAGCAGTATCCAGTATTCCTCCACACTGTTAACAGGTAGGACTTTTTTCATCAAAACCCATTCTGACATAAACAATCAGATCTAAGCTCTCCATTGACCAAGGCCTTGCAGTAACTGCATGCCATATTAAAAGCCTGGCCCTTGGTTTTGATTAGGATCACATCACTTTTCTGTGTACCGGAAGAAGGAAACTCCCTGCTTCGTGTTTTCATCACTTGTCAGCTAGGAACTTTCCAGTTTCTCTTCTTCTGTGGGAAAAAAAAAAAAAAAAAAAAAAAAAAAAAAAAGCACACTCCGGTAATTTTGTCATCAGATTCTGACTGCTGTGGTTGTGCCTCTACCATTTCATAAAATCACAGAATTACAGAATTTCGGAATGGTCAGGTTGGAAAGGACTTCAAGGATGATGAATCTCCAACCCCCCTGCCACACAAAATGACTCAACAGAGAACTTTGTTCCTGTGAATGTTTTTAGAGCTACTTTCCATGAGCTTCTGCTCATTGCTCTGTCCTGCTTTTTTCCTGCCTCCTTTATTTCCTATTTTTTAAATCGTATTTAGGAGGTTCTCTTGTAATATTTCCAACTGGGTTGTATGACAACTGAACGAGATCAGTATCATGAACTAAGTATTCTTTTAATTGTCTTTGAATGACCGTGCTCCTGCTATCTACCTAGCTGGTTTTTGTTGTTTTTGTTTTCTTACCCATTCTGTTTTCTGATTGCTTAATTTGACTGTTGCTCCTTAAGCACCTGTGATTCCAGTTTTCCTCGACTCCTTCAAAAAAGCTTCCTGTTTGAGGTTTGGGAATTATATATGGCTTTTCTCACCGTCTATAGAGAGTGCTTTTGGCTTATGTACTCATTTTTGACCCATCTCCAAGGATAATAGCTAGCAGCTCTTCTCTGTCAATGCTAGAGGAATACTTGTTCTCTGAAGTGCTGCCTCATAAAACCCTTTTAAGTTTAAGGATTTCATCTTCATCCTCTAATTAAGCAGGTGTCTAAACCAGTGAAGCAGCTTCATTCTGAAATCCAACCAGCCTCCACTTCAAAGGGTGTTGTTTCATCTTCCATAGATGTGAAAAAAGAACACTTCTTTGACAGTTCAACTCTGTAAGGTTATTTTAAGATAGGCTTTGCCTCTCACCTGATTCAGTTCTTGTTTTTCCAAAAATACACAGAATCCATCAGATCTGATGAGATGTCTCAAATACGTTCCTTAATACTGACATGAGTTCATCTTCGACTGAAGATATTGTTTCTCCCATCAGCAATCCTGAAACGACACACTCAAACTCTGTAAAAAAAAAAAAAGTGCATTTAGCCTTATTTGTTGTAGAGGTTCCAACACGGTGCAGCTCCAAATACAACCACTGACTCACCAGAATGATGGTTAGCCTTATGATACTGAGAGAGGCAGTACGACTTAAGCTGAGAAAGTCTTCCTGTACTGCAGCTTTACACCATTCTTTTGGAAAATACACTTGTGAAATTACTGACAGCTCAGGAACCAAACATGAGCCACCAATGTCACAAAAGAGCAAACTGGAACGCTTCTGCTTATGTAAGAAGCAGATGAGTTTTATTTGTATTTATTGCGTGCTCAAGGTGATTCAGAGTTAACTTTGGAAGAAATAAAGAACTCTAAACGCAGTAGTAACCCATGTCCTACACCGACCAGTTTAGGCCCAACAGGCACAGGTTACTACTTTCCCATCTTCTGTGTTTTCAAGAAAACAACATATGAATGGAAGGAGTTTGCCAGAGCAATGAGGAGGTGATGACACAAGATGTATGAGTCCTACTCACGCACAGAGGTTACTCAGCAGTACTAAAGGACTTCAGGATTTTCAGTCATTTGTCCAGGATAACACCTAGAACTTGAAAATGCCCACAGAGAAAACAGAAAACTCACCTGTTAAGGGACTGCCTCCCACTGTTCAGCAGGCGCCGTTCTGTTCCACCACCTGGGGAAGCAGCTCCCTCCCATGGGGCACATTTTCCTCCAAGGTTAGCACCAGGGACTACAGCATGCTGGTGGTTCAGGCTCGTGTTTCTTCTTCCAGTTTCAGAGTTATCCTGTTTTCAATTTCCAGCTGTAAAATCAATATTTCATTACGGAGTAACTCCGTCTGCAGATTTAGAAAATAACGGAGTCCTGTTGGGTCCAAGATGTGGATTTCCTCAGATTTGTCAGGAATTAGAAACTGCTAAGAGTGGCAATTGCTTTGCTTTCCCCTGGACAGTATCCATGCTACCTACATACCCAGTATGCACTGCTCTGTTTTCTGTTGCGTTCACCCTGTGGTCACCACTTACCACTTTTCTTTCCATTCTGAGTTCCACCTTAAGCTGGACGTAAAGTTCTTGAGACACATTCAGTGCATCAGTTTCCTCAGGGCATTTCTTTTAATTTAAGGAAAGGTATAGAGACTCCAATTAACCTCAGATGAAGAGACCCATAGTTCGTTGTCTGTCTGGGAAAATGAACCTCAGGGAACTGTACTCTTGCATTCCAAGTGCGTGTCAAAACCACAGTCAGAATTCATGTTTTTGTCTCCTCCTCTGGCATGTAATCTGTTAGAACAGTGTGAACAAACAAGTTCATTAACCTCCCTGAACTTTAATTTTTATTCCTTGCAGAGAATAAATTATATTTACCATGAGTGAAATCTGAAAAAATAAAAATTAAAAAAAATCGACACATATGAAGAAAATCAGCATGTGCTAACTTAATACACCACAGTAACTACCCTGACCTTCTCTCATATGCAGAACAGGAATTCTCAAGTAAACACGTTGGTAAACACTGGCTTTCTAGTGTTGCACATAGGATTATGTCCATACCCACAGATCTGCAAGCAGCTCAGAGCGACAGAAAAGAAAAGAAAGTCAAAACTGTAAGACAGAAATGCATAACAGCACATCCAGCAACAGGAAACTCTGAAGCTATACATGCTGATGGAAAATTGTAGTTATCAAAGTGCCATTTGTCTTGTCTCAGAAGGAGCTGAGTCTGAACGTGAGATCCCCAAACCTATTCTTCTAACACTAGAGTTAAAGGTGACTCCGCAGTGACGCAGAACAGGCTATATGGTCATTTAACCACAGCCTTTTTGCTGTGCTAGAGTCAGCTCCAGCCCCCCCATCCCTCCGGGCTCAGCTGTTCCCCAGAAATGAGGCTTGTCTTACAAAAAGGTCTGTAGTGGCCTGGCGCCATTATCTATTTGTCTTTTCATCTATAGATACGTTTGTGCAGAAAAGCCTGCGTGTATCAGCAAGGTTTGTCAAATCCTTGAAGTCTTTTATGAGAAAGGCTGTCTCATCTAACAGATTCTGAAGAACTTAAGATACACCTCTGTCTCTCCTTATGTAGGCACTTCTTGGGATACGTTTCTGGGCACACCTCTTGCTTCTTAGATTGCATAAGGCTGTGTGTTCTCACTGAGTATAAGATAGACAGGACACAGAAGTGCTCGCTGATGATGATGTGCCTTTTCCCCAGGGGAAAAAAAAAAATAAAAAGTGTCAGCAGTAACTTTGTGGCCATGATTTAAAGAGCTAAAAGAGCAAACCACTGTGCAGCATATTTTACTGGCCATCTCCAGCAGGCGCTCAGCTATGGATGCCTTGCTTCTAGACCCCAGCAGATCCGGGACACGCTCTAGGGAAAAGTAACAAAGAATATTTCTGCCAGCATTTCTAGGGGAGCCAGACTGGGATGTGAAGCTGCAGAAAAGTTAACGGTGGCTGAATTACAGACTCTTTGTCATGGTTCTATGTTTTTTGTTTTTGTTTTTTTTTTTTGTTTTTGGGTTTCAGTATTCCACATCAAAACATCATGTAGTGTACGGGGCATTAAAGTGTCACTGCCCCAATTCCAGGTACCTATCCCTGTACATTACAGCAGTCACGGGATCTGGCCCTTCCGGGTGGGGGGGGCGCTCTCTTGCTGCCTGGCAGTGGGTGCTGGAGGTGCTTTCCTAGCCGTTCCAACCTTTTCAGGTTTGACTCAGTCCCGGGAACTCTCTCTCTCTCATCTTGTCTGATTTATTAATCTCAATTGCAATTAAATTGTATCTATTGTGCTACCTTGTATTCTGGTATTATAGTAAAATAAGTTTTCCTCCATAGATTGTTGCCGCTGTTCTTTTCCTCCCTTCCTTCCCATTTTTGTGGGACCGGGGTGGGGGGGGAGGGCAGAGGCCTGTCGCCCCTGTCACGGACATAGACTGATCTGGTCAACTCTGTGACACTCTTAGAAATAAGAGGGTTTACTTCATTGCATATTGAGAGCAAAGTAAGGCAGTGGTTTAATGAACGACTTTAAGGTGCTTCACTTTTATGATTGTATAAGACTCTTTGTGTTGTCTCATGAGCAAAGGTCAGTGAACTGTCAGTCCTCATTACTTGGGCAAATGTTCTTTTGAGAACTCTCAAACTACTTCATGGTCCATGGAAACGAGTACATGTCTTTAATGGTTATCTTCAAAAATCAATAAGCATAAGGCTTGAAAAGAAGCAAATCAGAAAATGGAAAGAATCGTGATTGAAGAGACAGGCAGAATTGAATTTAAAAAATGCATTACTCAGAGTTACCAGCTTGTCTCTTGAGGGAAGAGTTAAACATCACAATTCCTGAAT